CTCATTGTCTCTAACTTGACTCAGCGTCTGTAAGAACAGCGCCCTCTGCTGGACGCCTGTGTGTTTGTGCCTTTGTGTTTGTGGATTTCTCTAAAAGAAACTCTCAAAAATACGTCACAGAAGAAATCGGTGAATTCGTACAACTGTAACTGTTCACATTTATCAAACTGAATTTTTAGTTGTACAAATGTTTTTGTTTTCTTTTAGCAAATGAAAAATGATAAATTTACAAATCCACATCTATTAGTAAAGACCAAAATACAAGTTACAAATATTAAATTTGTATTTGTGGATCAAAACACATGAACAAATGAATGAATATTTGTAATATTAATGAGACCAAACTAACTCCAGAAACTCCCTCTTCAACTGAATCTACCTGTTTTTCCAGCTGTTTTTATTTTGTTTATTTATTTTTTGTTGCTCAAATTCTGAACGTGTGGAAACAAACCCTCAAAAAATACTTTTACTCTTCAGTCCTGTTCAAAAACGTCAGTAAAATGAGTAGAAAGTACAGACACCTGCTCTCAACTGTACTCAAGTAAAAGTAAAAAGTACTGACTGTAAAACCTAAACATTTAGTTAAGTTCAGGACTTTGCAGCTTTTACTTCGTTCCGTTCCCCCACAGAGCAGAACACGTTTAAAACTTTAACACTTCGTCCGTTTTGTCTCCAGTCTCCAGAGTAGTCTCCGTCTCCAGAGTCTCTTCCTCTGTTCTTCTCCAGAGTCTCCAGAGAATCTCCAGAGTCTCCAGAAAGTCTCCAGAGTCTCCAGAGAGTCTCCAGAGTCTCCAGAGAGTCTCCAGAGTCTCAAGAGTCTCCAGAGTCTCCAGAGTCTCCAGAGTCTGAAGAGTGTCTCCAGAGTGTTTCCAGAGCCTCCAAAGTCTGCAGGGTGACTCCAGAGTGTCTCAAGAGTCTCTGGAGTGGGCGTGTCTCCAGAGTGGGCGTGTCTCCAGAGTGGGCGTGTCTCCAGAGTGGGCGTGTCTCCAGAGTGGGCGTGGTGCGGTTGTGGTGTGACTCTCACTCAGACCGGAGCTCTGCTGTAGAGTCGGCGCCTCAGAAGCTGCTCAGAGACCACGTGTTCACGCCGCGTCACCATTCGTTTACGAAGGGAACCACGGCGCGGTCGCTGCGGCGTCCGGCGAAAACAGACTCCCAACGGAGAGAAGTCTGAGCCGGCGTCGCACTCGCTCGCACTAGGAGCCTCCGTCAGTCTGCGTCCGTCTGCAGGCCCCAGGCAGTGGTGTCGCCGAGCAGACGTGATGGAGCGCAGGGGGCGGGGTTTGTCGGAGAGGGTGTGGTTTGTTGGAGGGGGCGTGGTTTGTTGGAGTGGCGTGGTCTCTTGGAGGGGCCGTGGTCTGTAGCTTGGGCCAGAGCAGGCCGGGGGGCGAGGGACGGCGTGCCGAGAGGGCGGGGGATGACATGCCGGGGCACTGGGGGACGGCGTGCGGGGCGAGGGGGAGGCCTGGCTCATCTTTGGTCCCATAAAGCACTTGAAGACGCCGCGGCTCTGATCCGGCGAAACACGGGAAACGAACGTAAACCGAACCGGAACCGGCTGCTAAGCTACGACGGCGAGGCAGCACAGCCAACAGTCTGTCCTTAAGCCATGCAGTTTGAGCATCGTCCATAGCAACCGGCACCAAGCATCCGAAGTCAGTCACGCGGTACGGGCCGATGAGGGGGCGGGGCTTCACACGGGAAGGCTGCGGTGGGCGGGGATAGGTGGGCGGTACCTCCTGCAGTCCAGAGGAGGTCCATAGTTTCAGACGGCGAGGCGGAGGTGTGTGGCGACGTGACGCGAGGCGGTTTTCCGGATTAAAGGAGTCGGACCAGAGGCTGTGCTAACATTAAAACGTGGACGTAACGCTCGTCTCCACCGGGGGGAGACAGAGCCAGCCTTAAGGCGATGCATAGCCCTTAGAAACGTTGGCACATGCATGGACGGTGCAGATATGTGAGACCTGCGAGAAGAGATCTGAATCACGATGGGTATGGTCGAAACACGGACGTACAAAAGTGAGAGATCGGGATTTGAGCGGGATCGACGTGGAGCCGGAGCCCGATCAGAACGCCGGGCCTCGAGGTGGACGGGGGGTTTGTGGTTTTCTTCACAAAAGAGTCGGACTGGGTCGACTTGACTTCTCTTTGTTTCAGTCTTTTCAACCCTAGATAGTTGTTTCTTGAAGCCGAACAGAACGCGATGTTTGTTTGTGTTTTTAGAATAATATGAGGGTGAAATGGACCTGCAGAGTAAATAAGTTTAAAGACTCAGCTGATCTTAAGACGTTATTCGTTCTGTGGAGAGACAAACCAAGACAAATTACCCGAAGCTCGACAAAATCTTCTTACGTTTGTCTCGGGCGACTGTGACCGTAGAAGGCAAGATTTTTTCCCGAACTGTCTTCTCAAGGACGACGTTAAAACAGAAATGCGTCTCTGTGTTTGGAGTCAAGACGTGGAACTTGTTAAATAGTGATTTTAAAAAGTCGCACCTGTGTTTCGAAATTCAAGAAAATGTAGAAGAATAAAATAATAACGGACGATGTGACTGAGGAAAATGTTTAACGTGAATGAAAGCTCGAGAGATATTGTAACGTGTGTTTGGCTCATTGATCGGTGACTTGGTTTGGTTTTTGGGGAACGATTATTTAAAAAAATGTTTAATTTTTGATTTGTGACAGGAGCAGGTTTATAAGATTTATCTTCTTTTTGTTCATGCAGCAAAAACAAGTTAAATAATCATAGAAATATGTTTGGATTTATGTTAATTTTCAGAATATTTGTTGTTGTCAATGCCAACAAAATAATAGCATGAGCAATAAATAAATAAATAAAAATAAGATTTAGAAGATGGACAGGAGTAACTTTGCCTCTTAGGCTCCGTTCAGTCTACAGCCTGAAGCGAAATCAGATTTTTCCTCCCTCTGCTCCTGTATCTGATCTTTTAATGAACCAAACAGATCAAATTTTTTCAAATGTGATCCAGGCCACTCGGATCTGTGCTCCTAAAACGGATACATAACTGATGTTTTGAGACTTCAGTCTGAACGTCAGGCTCAGAGTTTGGGGGGATCGGTGTTTTCGGGACAAATTGGAGGAGTCTTATCGGAACTGGGCGGTTTTTGAAATGATGCCAAAGAAACGTGCGAGCGCCGCTACAGACGGACCTGACTCCAGCGTCAACAAAAAATAGAGAGTCTGCGAGACAAATACGAGGAGGTTAAAGACTCAAACAAACGAAGCGGCCGTGGACGTGTCACCTGAACATTTTACCAACAACTGGACCAGGTTTTTGGAGATGAGCCCAGAGTTTAGGCGACTTCTGTAAACACTGTGACGTCGTCGTGTCTCCATTGCTCATGTGGGACACTTTTGGGGCACTTTTGGGGCACCCGCACAAGTCACATTTAATTGGAAATGTGAACGACTTCGCAAAAACGCCACTTTTGTCTGTTCGGCCTCAAGAAACCTCAGGCTGTCGTTATGTAGTGTTCAGTGTCCAAGGGGAGGGTCCAGTCTGTAATACTGAAGAAGGACAAGGAGAACACTTGAAGCATCGTCCGCGTGGATGTGAGAAGGACGAACCGAAGAAACGTCAGGACCATGGACGAACTGAAGAGTCGTCAGGACCATGGACGAACTGAAGAGTCGTCAGGACCATGGAGAAACTGAAGAAGCAGTGGAGTTTTTGAAGGACTGAAGAAAAAATGGTTACACTGCAAAAAGACTTTTCTACTTAAGTTACAATGACTTCAGATCGGGAATCGCGTGTGCGGTTTAACTTAGAGCAGTTCGCTCGGTTCAAGACTTTTGGTAGACTCGTGGTCTGGCGCAGAAATCGATAAAATAAGATTATTTACTGCTCATAAATTAAACTAAACAAGTCAAAAGTGTGAAATTAAAGTTTTTAAAAGTCTCATCTGACCCTGTGTCCCCAGAAACTTCGACACGTCCACGTTTACAGGATGTTCTTTTAATTCTGAATGAATTCGAGTTTCCATGTAAATAATATTTCCGATTTGAGGGTTTCACGGAAAACTGGTGAAATGTTTTTTTATTTAATTCGTCTCAGCATCTGGGGGTGGGGGAAGGTTCTGATTGGACAGAGACACCAACGGATTTACGCCTTTGGGTCTTTCGTTTTTATCATTTGCGGGTTTTATCTAAAGTCAAGCCGTAAACGACACAACACATCGGCGTTTTCCTCCAGTCGGTTCACTTCCTGCCTCCGTCTGACAAACGTCGCCCTGTGACGTCACGTGAAACCCACATATTGTCTCGTCGCGCTTTCCGTCTGTGAGCTGAGGAGGAGGAGGAAGAAGAAGACAAAAGCTCAGCCCACTCCCACATCCAGCTCGCAAATCCAAAGAGACGTGGATCAAAGTCCCGAGACACGACTGGACCAGGACCAGGACCAGGACCAGGACCAGAAGGACGACACGACGAGCACGAAGCACCAGCAGCATTTTAACAACAACGAACCACAAACAGGATCCACCAAACAAACTCACTCTGCAGCTTTAAGTATTTTTTATAACATTTCTAGTGTAACTGAGGGGATTATGAGGAGGAGGAAGTGTCACACATGCACAACAGGACTGTCGCTGTAAAAAATCCTCTATACAACCTTTAAGTGTTTACATGGACTTTTTCAGGCGGAATTGTTTTTGTTTTATTTCAGAATTAAGTCTCTCCTGTAAACGTGGCGAGCGTTGTGAGTAAAAGTCGTGTTTGAGGTTTAAACTTTCTGATATGTGGTTTCATTTTAAGCACCTTTTTTCGCACCGAAAACGTGAAATATTTAGTTTTGAGTTGTTAATCGTCGCGGCAACGGTGGAACTGGGGACACCGGGTCAGGTTTTGTGAAATCTAAACTCGGACTCGGTTGTTTTAAATTCCCCGAAGTGAAGTCGTCGTAAGCGCGGCAGAGTTTTTGCAGTGCGTTGGCGTCGGGGGCTGCGGCGGCGGCGAGCGGACGGGCTCCTCGCGGCGGCGTCGGTGGTGTCAGATGTTGGTGAGCGTGGTGGACGTGCAGAGGCGCACCGTCAGCGTCCCCGGCAGGTCGCTCTCCTGTCGGTTGCCCCTGTCGCGCAGGTGCAGGCTGTGCTGCTCCTGCCGCTCGTTGGGGTCGCTCAGGACGACCACCTGCCCCAGGAACGTGTCCATGATTATGTTACGGTTATAGATCTGCGGAGGGGAGAGCAGCAGAGAGAGAGAGGAGAGAGGAAAGAGGAAAGAGGAAAGAGGACAAGGGAGGAAAGGAGAGAAACGTGTCAGAGAAACGTGTCGGAGTCAGAGAAACGTGTCGATGTCAGACAAACGTGTCGATGTCAGAGAAACGTGTCGGAGTCAGAGAAAGTCAGAGAAACGTGTCGATGTCAGAGAAACGTGTCGGAGTCAGAGAAACGTGTCGGAGTCAGAGAAACGTGTCAGAGTCAGAGAAACGTGTCGGAGTCAGAGAAACGTGTCGGAGTCAGAGAAACGCGTCGATGTCAGAGAAACGTCGGAGTCAGAGAAACGTGTCGGAGTCAGAGAAACGTGTGTCAGAGATGTCAGAGAAACGCGTCGGAGTCAGTCAGAGAAACGTCGTCGGAGTCAGAGTCAGAGAAACGCGTCGGAGTCAGAGAAACGAGTCGGAGTCGGAGTCGGAGTCAGAGAAACGTGTCAGAGAAACGTGTCGGAGTCAGAGAAACGCGTGTCAGAGAAAGTCAGAGAAACGTGTCGGAGTCAGAGAAACGTGTCAGAGAAACGTGTCAGTCAGAGAAACGTGTCGGAGTCAGAGAAAGTCAGAGAAACGTGTCGGAGTCAGAGAAACGTGTCGGAGTCAGAGAAACGTCGGAGTCGTCGGAGTCAGGAAATGTCAGAGAAACGCGTCGGAGTCAGAGAAACGCGTCGGAGTCAGAGAAACGCGTCGGAGTCAGAGAAACGCGTCGGAGTCAGAGAAACGCGTCGGAGTCAGAGAAACGCGTCGGAGTCAGAGAAACGTCGTGTCAGAGAAACGCGTCGGAGTCAGAGAAACGCGTCGTGTGTCAGAGAAACGTGTCGGAGTCAGAGAAACGCGTCGGAGTCAGAGAAACGCGTCGATGTCAGAGAAACGCGTCGGAGTCAGAGAAACGTGTCGATGTCAGAGAAACGTGTCGTTGTCAGAGAAACGCGTCGGAGTCAGAGAAACGCGTCGGAGTCGGAGTCAGAGAAACGTCGTCAGAGAAAGGAGTCAGAGAAACGCGTCGTCAGAGAAACGCGTCGATGTCAGAGAAACGCGTCGGTGTCAGAGAAACGTCAGAGAAACGTGTCGGAGTCAGAGAAACGTCGTCGTGTCAGAGAAACGCGTCGTCAGAGAAACGTGTCAGAGAAACGCGTCGTTGTCAGAGAAACGCGTCGATGTCAGAGAAACGCGTCGGAGTCAGAGAAACGCGTCGGTCAAAGTTCAGAGAAACGCGTCGTTGTCAGAGAAACGTCAGAGAAACGCGTCGGAGTCAGAGAAACGCGTCGTCAGAGAAAGAGTCAGAGAAACGTCAGAGAAGTGTCAGAGAGTCAGTCAGAGAAACGCGTCGTCGGAGTCAGAGAAACGCGTCGGAGTCAGAGAAAGTCAGTCAGAGAAACGTCGTCAGAGAAAGTCAGAGAAACGTCGTCGAGAAAGTCGAGTCAGAGAAACGCGTCGGAGTCAGAGAAACGCGTCGATGTCAGAGAAACGCGTCGGAGTCAGAGAAACGTCGATGTCAGAGAAACGCGTCGGAGTCAGAGAAACGCGTCGTCAGAGAAACGTGTCAGAGAAACGCGTCGGAGTCAGAGAAACGCGTCGGAGTCAGAGAAACGCGTCGAAAGTCAGTCAGAGAAACGTCGTCAGAGAAAGAGTCAGAGAAACGCGTCGGAGTCAGAGAAACGTCGTCGGAGTCAGAGAAACGCGTCGGAGTCAGAGAAACGCGTCGGAGTCAGAGAAACGTGTCGGAGTCAGAGAAACGCGTCGGAGTCAGAGAAACGTCGTCAGAGAAACGCGTCGGAGTCAGAGAAACGCGTCGGAGTCAGAGAAACGCGTCGGAGTCAGAGAAACGCGTCGGGTCGGCGATGGGGCGCTCACCTCGATGTGGATGGCCTCCTTGGGTTTTTTGCGATAGAAGATTCCTTTGACGTCGAAGTTTGGGCAGCGTGTGTCCCTCTGCACCGGAGACCGAACCCGCTCGCCCTCACACGAGATGATCACGTACGGGTCCAGGGCTGCAACAAACACACCGGGTCACAACCACCACAACAGGAGACAAGACCTGAGACCCGACCTGAGACCAGACCTGAGACCCGACCTGAGACCAGACCTGAAACCCGAGACCAGACCTGAGACCAGACCTGAGACCAGACCTGAGACCAGACCTGAGACCAGACCTGAGACCAGACCTGAGACCGACCTGAGACCTGAGACCAGACCTGAGACCAGACCTGAGACCAGACCTGAGACCCGACCTGAGACCAGACCTGAGACCAGACCTGAGACCAGACCTGAGACCCGAGACCAGACCTGAGACAGACCTGAGACCAGACCTGAGACCAGACCTGAGACCAGACCTGAGACCCGACCTGAGACCAGACCTGAGACCCGAGACCCAGACCTGAGACCTGAGACCAGACTGAGACCGACCTGAGACCGGACCTGAGACCCGACCTGAGACCCGAGACCAGACCTGAGACCCGACCTGAGACCAGACCTGAGACAAGACCTGAGACCCGACCTGAGACCCGAGACCAGACCTGAGACCCGACCTGAGACCCGACCTGAGACCAGACCTGAGACCTGAGACCAGACCCGAGACCAAACCTGAGACCCGAGACCCGACCTGAACCCGACCCCGAGACCCGACCCGAGACCCGACCTGAGACCCGACCTGAGACCCGAGACCAGACCCGAGACCAGACCTGTGACTAGACCCGAATCCCGACCTGAGACCAGACCCGAGACCAGACCTGAGACCCGACCCGAGACCCGACCTGAGACCCGACCCGAGACCCGACCTGAGACCAGACCTGAGACCCGACCTGAGACCAGACCTGAGACCCGAGACCAGACCTGTGACCAGACCCGAAACCCGACCTGAGACCAGACTCGAGACCAGACCTGAGACCCGACCCGAGACCCGACCTGAGACCCGACCCGAAACCCGACCTGAGACTAGACCTGAGACCAGACCTGAGACCCGACCTGAGACCAGACCCGAGACCAGACCCAAGGCCCGACCTGAGACCAGACCTGAGACCCAAGACCAGACCCGAGACCCGACCTGAGACCAGACTTGAGAACCCGACCCGAGACCCGACCTGAGACCCGACCCGAAACCCGACCCGAGACCCGACCTGAGACCCGACCTGAGACCAGACCTGAGACCCGAGATCCGACCTGAGACCAGACCTGAGACCAGACCTGAGACCCAAGACCAGACCCGAGACCCGACCTGAGACCCAACCTGAGACCCAAGACCAGACCTGACCTGAGAGACCAGACCTGAGACCAGACCTGAGACCCAAGACCAGACCCGAGACCCGACCTGAGACCCGACCCGAGACCCGACCTGAGACCCGACCTGAGAACCGACCTGAGACCATTTTTTCCATGGGGTATTAATTGTTCAGATCGCGGTGTCAAACCAGGAGTCGACAACCCGCGGCTCCGGAGCCACATGTGGCTCTTTAGCTCTCCCCTAGTGGCTCCCTGGAGCTTTTTCAAAAATGAGTGAAAATGGAAAAGGGATGATTTTTGTTGTTGTTTTAATCTGGTTTGTTTCGGGGTAAAACCCTCGTTCATCTGCTCATGGATCTGAAACATCATCTGTGTGAATGAAACACATGAAAAGTGTTTCAGCAGAACAAACAGATGAGCTGAAGCTGAAGCGGGGGTTGGTGTCCACCTCCACCTGAGAAGAACTTTCCCCGAAAAAAAACAACAACAAAAAAACACGTGCGCAGACGGACGCTCAGAACAACATAATAAACCAAACTGGATTCACACTTCTGTCCGGACGCTGCTCCACCTCAGAACCAGACCAGAGCAGCTGGACCTGTGGTCCACAGAACATTCTCACTTTACCCACACAGAACCAGAGCACAGATGAAGCACTGAAACACTCAGACCCAGTCCTTTGTGCTGGTCTTACTCGCCCCCGTCTGGAACCAGGACATGGAGGACGAAGCCTCTGGACCATCTGACCAACACTGGACCTCAGCCCCGTCTGGAGGAGCTGCTCCTGTGTGTTTCTGCTGCTGAACTCAGAGCTTCTGCTCCAGGCTGATGTTGTGTACAAAGTTCTACAGGCTGCTGTTTTCTGAGTGTCCTGCACATGAGCTTTTTGTGTGTTGTGTGTGTGTGTGTGTGTGTGTGTGTGTGTGTGTGTGTGTGTGTGTGTGTGTGTGTGCTGTGTGTGTGTGTTGTGTGTGTGTGTGTGTGTGTGTGTGTGTGTGTGTGTGTGTGTTGTGTGTGTGTGTGTGTGTGTGTGTGTGTGTGTGTGTGTGTGTGTGTGTGTGTGTGTGTGTGTGTGTTGTGTGTGTGTGTGTGTGTGTTGTGTGTGTGTGTGTGTGTGTGTGTGTGTGTGTGTGTGTGTGTGTGTGTGTGTGTGTGTGTGTGTGTGTGTTGTGTGTGTGTGTGTGTGTGTGTGTGTGTGTGTGTGTGTGTGTGTGTGTGTGTGTGTGTGTGTGTGTGTGTGTGTGTGTGTGTGTGTGTGTGTGTGTGTGTGTGTGTGTGTGTGTGTGTGTGTGTGTGTGTGTGTTGTGTGTGTGTGTGTGTGTGTGTGTGTGTTGTGTGTGTGTGTGTGTGTGTGTGTGTGTTGTGTGTGTGTGTGTGTGTGTGTGTGTGTGTGTGTGTGTGTGTGTGTGTGTGTGTGTGTGTGTGTGTGTGTGTGTGTGTGTGTGTGTGTGTGTGTGTGTGTGTGTGTGTGTGTGTGTGTGTGTGTGTGTGTGTGTGTGTGTGTTGTGTGTTGTGTGTGTGTGTGTGTGTGTGTGTGTGTGTGTGGTGTGTGTGTGTGTGTGTGTGTGTGTGTGTGTGTGTGTGTGTGTGTGTGTGTGTGTGTGTGTGTGTGTGTGTGTGTTGTGTTGTGTGTGTGTGTGTGTGTGTGTGTGTTGTGTGTGTGTGTGTGTGTGTGTGTGTGTGTGTGTGTGTGTGTGTTGTGTGTGTGTGTGTGTGTGTGTGTGTGTGTGTGTGTGTGTGTGTGTGTGTGTGTGTGTGTGTGTGTGTGTGTGTGTGTGTGTGTGTGTGTGTGTGTGTGTGTGTGTGTGTGTGTGTGTGTGTGTGTGTTGTGTACCTCCGTTGGAGTCTGGTCCCTGGAGTCCTTCTGCACTCAGCACATGGACCTGAGTCACGAGCTGAGGAAACCCACACATCCCCGTCCAACAAGTCTGAGGAGGCTCGTCCAGAGACAACTCTCTGCACACACACACACATACACACACACACACACACACACACACACACACACACACACACACACACACACACACACACACACACACACACACACACACACACACACACACACACACACACACACACACACACACACACACACACACACACACACACACACACACACACACACACACACACACACACACACACACACACACACAACACACACACACACACACACACACACACACACACACACACACACACACACACACACACACACACACACAAAAACACACATAAACACAAACACACACAGAAACACAAACACACAGCGTCACCATCAGGAACCTTACAGAAACGATTCAAACATAAATCCTCATGACCCTGATCCAAAAACGTTCTTTTCTACATTTCCTTGTGTTGATTTGAAAAACATTCGGAGGTGTGTTTAAAAAGAACCTGAAGACGACAGCAGGTAAATCCTCCTCCTGCTGTATTGTCTTTAAAAACACAGAGGAGTACATGATGGAGGTGGAGGTGGGAGGAGGGGCTGACAGGTTCTACCGGTTTCTTCAAGTTAAATTCAATCTTTTTAAGATAATTTTAATAAAAATGTAATGACTATTTCACAGCCTTTATCATAAACCTTCTGGCAAATTATTGAATTTGTGTGAGTTTATTTCTCAAACAAATGAATCTGAGGAGTAAAGACTCTTCAACAAAACTTGAAAACATGAAATGTGTTAATAAGTCATGTAAAGTCGACTCCATCATCTGCTTGTTTCTGTGGAGACGTCACTGTTCTGTCTGGAATGTTCTACTGAAGGTGTTTTCAGGTCGACAGAGAATCGTGCCAGTGCCGGTTCCTGCACCTAATCTTGAACCGACTCACATGTTCACGTCGGAAATCAGAGCGATCGGGAACCAAAAAGTAGTTTTTTCTAAGTGAACCGTGACGACACAGAAGACGTCAGCACGTTCATCCAGGTCACACACGGGAAAATAAACAAACCAAGAACAACTGAAACTATCACGTATGAAAAGTCAACAGAAACTCTTGGTCCCGTTGGTCTCACATGTGTCCGTGTCCTGATCAGATTCTTTTATCTTTGGTTTGGGCGTCGCTGTCGTCGTCTCCACAGCAGATCCATGTTGTGTCAGAGCTCGACACATAAATAATGACTCGTATAAATACAAACACTCACTGTGTCCATGATGTGATCCATGATTGTTATTTTCCTCCTGTAACGTCCGTTTTTATTTGGTGGTAAATCAATCTGTCGATGACACTTCATGAGTTCATGTAAATGGTTTGACCGCAGCTCGTTCACGGTGAGAACTTTGGTTCTCACTGGAACTGGTGCAGGAACCGACACCGACACCGTTCTGACCGACCTGAAAACAACTATTATGACTTTAAACAGCTCGACTTTACATTTATTCAGTTACAGGTGGATTTAATGCTCAAAAATGCCAAGAAAAACAAACAGACATTCTGCCTGAGAGCGGATCGCCTCTCCACAGATCTGACCTGGAACTGAGTCTGGTTTTGGTTTGGAGGAATAGATGGAGGAGGAGGAAGAGGAAGAGTAGAGTAAGTGTTTACTTGCAGTCTGAAGGCACATCAGTGAAGACGCGCAGCAGGAAGTCTCCCTGCTGTCCGGGGTCGAAGGTCGTGGGGATGATGACGTAGCGTCCTTCCTTCAGCTCCTTCCTGAGGAACACGCAGCGAGAGTTTATGTAGATGGAGCCGGCGACCTTCTGCTGCGCGCTGTGCATACGGTACTTCCTGTTCAGCTCCACCTGCAGGACGGGACCACACAAGACGCTCAAGGAACTACGACAGATTTAAGAACGAGAGAGATGTTTTTAACAGCGGCCCAAAGTGTCCCGCTGTAGGTCTGAGGAACTTCAGCTCCATGTTTTTCTGTGTAAATGTGGGTGTAAATGTGTGGTCTAAACCAGGACCAAACCAGGACTAATCTTGGACTAGAACTTGGAATCTAGGGTCGTTTTCACACCACTAGTTCGATTATTTGGTCCGCACCAGGCAATAAAATTGTTATTATGTAGCAAATACACTCCAGTGTGTCCGCGTTCACACCGGCAAACGAACCAAAATTGGTTCAGTTGACGTGTCTCTGTTTCCCGGGAAAACGGCGATACTCCAGTTATCAACACCGATGTTCCTGTTAATACCACGGGCCGTCCTCATCTCAAATTATCACCATGAACTCATAAAACAGCAACATGTAGAACTTTCTACAAACTCACCGCACATCAGCCCAGAGTTCGGGTAACAGCAGCAGCCAACAGCTCCTCAGGACGGGGCTGGGGTCTGGTCCTTGGTCTGTTACAAGCTCGTTGGTCAGATGGTCCGGAGGCTCTGTCCTTCATGTGCTGGTTCCAAACGGTGGCGAGCAAGACCAGTGCGCAATGACTGGGTCTGAGCGGGAACGTTCCATCGTCTGCGCGCTGTTTCCGTGCGGGGAAAGCAAGAATGTTCTGTGGACCACAGGTTCAGACGGGCTGCTCCTGTCCTCCGCGCTCAAGAACCGCGGCTGGTTCTGAGGTGGTGCAGCATCCGGACAGAAGCGTGAGTCCAGTTTGGTTTGTTATATGTTGTTCTGAGCGTCCGTCCTCTGTGCATTTGGTTCTTACCAGGGAAAGTTCTTCCTCAGGTCAAGGCTCCCCGCTCCAGCTCCTCTGAGCCCGGACAGAACTGGACCTGCTCCCGCTGGTTCAGGACTCTGGTTTGGATCTAGTCCGACTGTATTTCTCACACGAGGCTAAAAACAGGGACTTTTTAAAGTTGTATCAATTGAATAGACTATTGCTATAAAATTATTTGGTTAATTAAAGCCTAAAATAACAAATGCTGGTTGCTACGTGAACACGGGGAACACCAGGACTTCTCTTTTTGACTCACTCTGGAGCCACATGTTCACACACTGGATCTTGCTCTGATCTTCATGTGTTACATTCTCTGCATTGGCCATTGTTGGTAAAATAATTTGAAAATGAATCGCGTCTGCGTCTGGAGAACAACCTGTTACTGTACCGTTTCTCCCATGATGCATTTGGAATAGTCCGTTTGGACCTGCTGTTTCTGGTTTGGATCAGAGTTCGCGTTCACACCAGAGGAACCGCACCAAAGTTGGTCATTTGGTGCAGATTCAAGCGAACTGAGACCACCTCTTTTTTGCGGTCTCGGTCGCTTGAGTTGGTTCAGGTCAGAGTCCGATTGACGCTTTCACACCAACGCAAACGAACCAAACTAACCACTTTTTTTTCGAATGGACCGTTTGGTGCAACAAATACTGTCGGTGTGAAAACACCCTAGGACTGCCCCGGAGTGAACCCCGAGCCCGTGGAGCAGGGTGTCTCAAAGTGCGATCAGGCGTCGGCCGCACTTCGTCTCGTGGAGTGTGGAGTCGGTCCGTTCACTTGTGGTCACCTGACGGTCTACGCGGGCGCATCTCTGCGTTTCACCGCTGCCGATGTCGCCGTGATTTTAGCGAATTTTTATGAAGAAAAACCCACCACTTCAATCCAGGTTAAAAAAGCATCATGACGCACGTTACTCACATTTGTACGAGTAAAATATTACCATTTTTTTCCCTGTAACACCACATTACTGCGTTACAGCAAAAAACAACGCAGCACATTCATTTGTTACTTTTATAACACGTTACTCCCAAGCCCCGCGGTTCCAAAATAGTCGCCCATTAGAGTCAACGGGCTGAGCTCAACGGCGCGTGATCCCAGATTAGTCTTTAGCCCGGCGAGGTTCTTCCGGCGTCTGTGGGCCGACCGAGCATGTGCAGTAGAGTCGCCAACGCACACGAGCGAACACAGCAGAGCGGAGCCGGAGCGAATTTTTTAAGACAACTGAAGACTGGCTTTTAGAAACGTGTGAACACTAAAACTTTGATTGTATTTTTGTAATCTTATTATACATTTGTGTCATTTTTGATGTGTAACTTTTAAGTGTATTTTCTTTCAGGGTGACTTTTTGACATCTGGCAAAGGGACGACCAATGCAAATGAACTCTTTTTTACACATTTACATTGTTTTGATGTTGATTAATGCGCATTGTCCCTTTTCAAATAAATAGATAAATACAAATAAATATAAATAAGAGCTGAGAAAAAGTTTATGATCTAAAAATAGGTAAAAATCGCCACAAAATCCGACATTTTTGAAAGTTGTAGGTCCCTGTCGGACGAACACGAGCAGTTTGTTACTTTAATCCGTGTGTCATTCGTTCATTCGTTTTTCAATATAAAACCAAAAATCAAGAAAACGAAAAAACAACAGTTTTCTTCATTATTTGTCTCCAAAACCAAAATGAAAAAACAGATAAAGATTTGTTTTTTCAGTTTTCGATTTTGTGTTTAAATGAAAAATGGAAAAAAACAGATAACGGCCGTTTCTCGTTTATGTGACTTCAGTGACTGAGATGCCGAACTTTTGCACCGCGTACGGACTGAACCAGGAGTGATCCAGGTCCGAGACCAGAGCGGGACCAGAGCAGACTCCGAGCTTTGACTCCGGCCCTGCTGTGGACTCTGAGCCTCCGGTCTGGTCCCGGTCTCACTAGCACTTTGGTCCTGGTCTGGTCCTGGACCTGGTCCATTTGAACCAAAAGCTCTTAGTTGGGTTCGTTTTCGTTGGTGTGAAAGTGTCAGTTGGATGTTTTGCTCCACCTCAGAACCAGTCGTGGTTCTTGAGTGTGGAGGAACCAGAGCAGCTCGTCCAGACCTGGAGTCCACAGAACATTCTCACTTTCCCCACACGGAACCAGCGCACAGACGATGACACGGAACCACTCAGTCCCGCTCTGGTCCCGGTCTGGTCCCAGTCTCAGTCCCGGTCTGGTCTCTATCTGGTCTCAGACCTGGTTCAGTCCGTACGCGGTGTAAAAGTTCGGCATCACAGTCACTGAAGTCACGTAAACGTCATTATCTGTTTTTTTCCATTTTTCACTTAAACACAAAATCAAAAACTTAAAAAAACGAAACATTATCTGTTTTTTCATTTTGGTTTTGGAGACAAATAATGAAGAAAACTGTTGTTTTTTCGTTTTTCTTATTTTTGGTTTTATATTGAAAAACGAATGAACGAACGACACACAGATTTACTTTGCCTCTATGAGAAAAGATTTTAATCTCGGCCCATGTTTTTTTTTGAGAGTCACTACGTCAACTCAGAAACAAGCACCAACACCCTCCAATTATTTGAATAGATCCAAGGTTACTCCCAACACTGTTTGAGGGCATAGGTCAGGGGTCAGGGGTCAGGGGGGGTGAGGTTAGGTCAGGGGTCAGGTGTTAGGTCAGGGGTCAGGGGTGGGGGTGAGGTGTTAGGTCAGGGGTCAGGGGTGGGGTGAGGTGTGTCAGGGGTCAGGGTCAGGGTCAGGGGTGGGGGTGAGGTGTTAGGTCAGGGGTCAGGGGTGGGGTGAGGTGTTAGGTCAGGGGTCAGGGGTGGGGTGAGGTGTTAGGTCAGGGTCAGGGGTCAGGGGTGGGGGTGAGGTGTTAGGTCAGGGTCAGGGGTCAGGGGTGGGGGTGAGGTGTTAGGGTGAGATCAGGGGTCAGGGGTCAGTACCCGGTGGATGTCGAAGCCGATGGCCAGGTTCTCGGACTTTCCCTCTTTGGGCGTGGCTCTCTTCTCCTTCTGCTGTAAACAGATGAGCACCTCGTCCTCCACCTTCTTCACATCGAACACGTACTGCAAAGAAGAACAAAGTACTCAGAAAACAGGACCAGTACTCCAACCAAGTACTGCAAAGAACACAGTACTCAGGAGAGACAGGACCAGTACTTCAAACAAACCCAGTCCTTTACATTTTAGACCATTTCTTTCAGCCTCTCTGAGCTTAAAGGTTGTATGGAGGATTTTTTTGTTTGTTTAAAATTGTCATTGAAAGTTTAAAATACCATTACAGAGACGCAGCAGCTTTTAATTATGATGACGGAAAAAAAAAAGAAAGAATGAAAATCTATCAGTTGTGGACGTAGTGAGGCCAGATAAACATCAGCCAATAGAAAACGAGGCTCCCTCTTTTTCTATTGGCTGTTAGGTTGTCAGTCAAACTCCCTACATTTTTAGTGTAACTGACTCGTCGGCGCTCGGGGATTATGTGGTTTATGCAGCGGTTCTTTGAGGCTTTTTCAAACTGTTGCTTCCTTGCAATTCGCACAAAGTTTGTTGCGATGGCGGACGAGAATCCACGACCAGTTCGCCGCAAAAGAAAGTCCGAAGGGTCTAAAAACTGACACGTCGGTCGCTAAAATATTTCTAGGCAGGTCACTTCAACAGTAATTCTGAACACGCACTGGATGTAAACAAATGTGATTTGTAGAGTAAAGAGGCGGGAGGAGGAGATGTTTCTACTGAGGAAGGAGGTGTCACACATGCACAACATTTGAAAAAGGACGGTCGCTGTATTTCGCTTCCCTTAAAAAATCCTCTATACAACCTTTAAGAAAGCGAAAGTCCCCATCTTGCGGGACTTGCGGGCAGGAGCGGAACAGATCATCAGAGTTCTTTGCAGAGTGGGCTGGAGCGGGACTGAATTTTCAAGCTCTAACTGGGGGTAATAATGCAGAGTTACTCAAACATGTGAGTGAAACAAAACCACAGCTCCAGGTCTGTTTGTGTTTGTGAGGAGGAAACATTCAGGACCCGGTTTCACGCTCACAGGAGTCGGTTCCGTGCGACGTGGGGCCCTGAAAGTCTCCGGTACCTGTGGGTTCTGGAGGAAGGTGGCCTTGTGGTTGATGCAGCCTCCGGCCCGGTTGCGGAGCGGGTCCTGGCGGTGGGTCCAGGAGCCCCTCATCACCTCCTCCTCCCAGGTCTTGTGGATGCTCAGGTAGGACGTGTTGATGAGGCGACACAGGATCAGGTCGGTGAAGTACTGGCAGAAGTCGTCAAACGTCATCCTGAAGAGACACAGTGTGGTTTCGTTTAGTGCTCTGTGAACATCATTTTAGAACCATAATTTTCAGATCAGATTGAGGCATTTTAGGTTTAAACACACCGGATTTCAGCGTTAAACCTGCAACCCAAATGAGAAAGTCGTGCGAGGCTCGTTCTGCTTCTGATTGGAGAAACGTCTCGAGAACCAACACAGTAAAATAGTTGTAATAAACCTTTTTTTTTCACAACGTACGGAAGTGTCCCGCTGTAGGTTTTGCAGAACGTCCGGTTAATGTTTTTCTGTGTAAGTGTGTGTGTAAATCTCTTTCTCTGCTGGAGGAGGGGGCAGAGTGGGAGGAGCCTCGTACTGTCTCTGTGTGAAGAGTCGACTGGTTTATTATCAAATATAAAACAAACTGAGAAACTCTGCTCTGATTTTCACTGAAGAAAAATGAACTAAACACTAAAACACACATAAACTCCAGCTGTGCACGAGATGTGGTGTGTGTTTCATTAATATCATAGTGTTTGTTTGTTTTTTGCATTAAAATGTATTGAAATCGAGTCAATATTGTGACCTGTACATCAAGATACGCACTGAATCGTAGAAAAAACCAATTTTTCTAACGCTGTGTAACCCATGTAAACATATGGTTTCTAATATTTCATCGCGTAAAACTTTCATTTCGGACGCTCCTTGAACACACCACTCTTTTCCTAAGTCTCTTTGAATGTATCATGTGCACATGCGGCTTGCACCTCGCTAGAGACAAGACATACAGTGAGTCAAACAGTCTGAAAAGTGTAAAAAATGTACTTTAAACCAGTTCTGATTTAAGGTTGTGCACTTTACAGAGCAGTTAGTGTCTTACTCCCAATTCTGACTGAGTTAAGACTGAGTGGAGGTTGTTTTCTTGGAAACTCCGGTGAGTTACTGAACTATGACAAAATAGCAGGATTCTCTCTTGCTAAGTTGCACGTGTTGATTACTGTGTTATATGTACTGGAGTGTTGAATCAAAAAGGGCACTGAGAACTAAACTGACTGTTTTTTATTTTTATTCATGGTTTATATGTGAAGCACTTTTACAAATGCACTATACACATTTGAATATGCACTTTTATTTTAAACTTCATTTTATGCAGTGCTTATTAAGCACTTTGTCATTTAATTTATGGGTAAATTCATAGGTAAACTTTTGTTAGAAATAATTAAGGTTAAAAATAATAATAAAAGGAAATAATTTAAAAGCCTTAAAAAAAGGGATGAACAGATAATCTGGTTTTATGTAAAGCTGCTGTGTAGCATTTCATTTTGAATTCATTGAAGGGATCAATGTAACACAACGATGTAATTGATTTAGAACATTTTATGAGATCTCATTTTATTTAGAAACTATTGTTGAAATTAATTTTATTCATTGTTCTGTACTGTATGTGCAGACTGTTTTTTAGTGGTCCTGGAACTGTCAGACCCAGGGAGAACTCCTCCAGACTCCTGGAGCAGTGTGACCAGCTGCTTTGGGTTCAAGAAAAGATCTTCAGACCTGAACGCTCCCTTAAATCACTGGATCCCAGATAAGAAACAACCAATCGCATTTTGGAAAAGACACTTTCAAACAATCCCAAGTCTTGCACCTCAGGACCAAGAACCAAAAGACATTTAGCATTCCTAACTTTATTTTATTTTATTTTATTTTATTTTCAAAGAGCTCAACCCCTTTGTCATTTGCACGTGTTTACTGTGCCATTGTTGAATTGTATTAAACCTTCCGGCTGTTCAACTTTACATTTTCTCTCATTTCTGTTCCTCCTCCAGAACTCGTCTGCAGCTCTGGTCTGATATTATTCAGCAGATGTTACAGCCGCGTCACTCATTTCCTCAGACATTTTGACACAGAAAAACATTAACCGGAAGTTCCACAAACCTACAGCGGGACACTTCTGGAAGTTGTGAAAAACGTTTATTAATAAGTCTCATCGGTGAGAGGCGACACCGTACGAGAGCATTTTTTTATTTTTTATTTTTTTTTGTTCGTTATAAAAACATCTGTAATGAAAATAAATCAACAGAAGCTGCACTGTGTCACTTTTCTGCTGGAGGCTCCGTCAGACGCTTTTCTCCATGGAGATGTTGTTGCTTTGCCTGGAATGTTCCACAGTGTGACGTTAAACCTTTCTATCTCCACGGAGACCACACCAGACTCAGTGCCAGGTCAGATCTGCGGAGAGGCGACGCCGCTCACAGTCACAGTGTCACAGTGTTTTTCTAGGGATTTATGAGTTTTAAATCCTCCTGTGATTGAACAAATGTAAAGTCGAGCTGTTTAAAGTCACACTGCGGAACATTCCGGACAGAGCAGTGACGTCTCCATGGAAACAAACGGGTGACGGAACTTAAATCAGAAATGTTACACAGTGCAGCTTTAATCATCAGTATCATGTTTTAAATCACTTCATTTTTATCCTTCTTGATTTTATTGTGTATTTCTTTTTATTCTATTTCTTTTTATGTATTTATAATCATCTGTTATCATTCGTTCATTCGTTTTTCAATATAAAACCAGAAAGAAGAAAATGAAAAAACAGCAGTTTTCTTCAATATTTGTCTCCAAAACCAAAATGAAAAAACAGATAACGATTCGTTTTTTCAGTTTTGGATTTTGTGTTAAAATGAAGAATGGAAAAAACGGATAACGGACGTTTCTCCTTTACGTGACTTCAGTGACTGAGATGCCGAACTGAACCAGGACTGATCCAAGTTCGGGACCAGACCGGAACCAGACCGGGACTGAGACCGGGACCGAGTGGTTCCGTGACATCCTTTATGCTGGTTCCGTAGGGGAAAAGTGAGAATGTTCTGTGGACGACAGGTTTGGACGGCTGCTCCTGTTCTCCATGTTCAAGAACCACAGCTGGTTCTGAGGTGGTGCAGCATCCGGACAGAAGCGTGAATCCAGTTTGGTCGGTTATAGTTTTGACCATTCGTCCTCCGCGCATTTGGTTCTTCCCCGAGGTAAAGCACGTCTCAGGCCGAGGCTCCTGACTTCACTCCCCGCTCCAACTCCTCTGAGCCCGGACAGAACCGGAGCTGCTCCCGCTGGTTGGAATAGTTCGTTTGGACCTGCTGTTCTTTTGGACCGTTTGGTGCGAGACCAGAGGCTCAGAGCCCACGGCAGGACCGGAGCTCGAAGCTGAGGCTCGGACCCCGCGGAGGCTCAGAGTCAAAGCTCGAAGTCCAGTCTGGTCCCGGTCTGGTCCCGGTCTGGTCCCGGACTTGGATCAGTCCTGGTTCAGTCCGTATTCGGTGCAAAAGTTCAGCATCACAGTCACTGAAGTCACGTAAATGAGAAACGGCCGTTATCCTTTTTTCCATTCTTCATTTTAACACAAAATCGAAAACTGAAAAAAACGAATCGTTATCTGTTTTTCATTTTGGTTTTGGAGACAAATAATGAAGAAAACTGTTGTTTTTTCGTTTTCTTATTTTTGGTTTTATTTTGAAAAACGAATGAACGAACGACACACGGATTTATAATAATTAATTGAATTGTTTGCATCGTTGTTTGTTTTTCTTTGTCTTCTGTTTGCTGTTTTTGTGCTTTTTGAATTGTTCTTTGCTGCTTGTACGGCACGTTGTAAATCTTAGTCTATAAAATAGTTTTATAAATAAATATTTGTGAGACACAGACGAGCAGGTGAGTACAAATCTGACCAGAATTCTCCGTCGTCCTGCACGGTCACTCCCAGCTTCTCCCTCTCGCTCTTGCTCACTTTGTTCCATTCTTCTGAGCTGCACACAGGAAACACACACACATAAGAAGAGGAGGAGAGGCTGAGGGGGCTGAGGGTCTGGTTAAGGTCAGGAAGAGGGTTAGATAACGTACGAGCTGATTCTAAATGTAAACAAATGTCACTTTATTTAATGATAAAAAGAAAAAGGACGACATAACATTAGAGACAGACGGATACAGATTAAAAGACTAAACGAAAGTCCTGACTGAAGACGAACTTAACTGGAGTTTGTCTCATATAAATGACGCTAAAGGAAAAATTTCCAAAGCGAGTGTGTTAGTTTCAGAGTAGTTTCAGTGTAGTTAGCTCCTCCTGCAGACAGATATAAGGAAGTGTCACCAGCGTCTGACAGAACTGAAGAAACAGCTCGGATGAACTGAGAAATGTTTTCAACCAAATAAACTTTTGTCCAGTCGACAAATTGAACTTCTCCTTTTGCCAATCTGCAGGAACATCAGCACAACTCTGCGAATCTCTCTGATTTGGCCAAGATTTTAAAACTTCTATCAGGTTCTTCAGCTTGTTTTCAGATTTATGATCGACTTACTCCTTCTGAATTGGTTGTTTTGTTTTGAGGCAATAAGGAGATTTTTTAAATTTATTTACAGACTTGATATTTTGCACTTTTGGAGCTAAGGCCCGAAACTAAACCTTTTTTATGTCCAAAAAGTTGTTTATAGAAGTTTGCTGTGTGATATCTTATTTTTGCGCTGGAGTGTTGTGTCATGGAGCAGTGAAAGCTCCAGGAGAACATCAGCACTTCTGTCTCTCTTCATCTACACGTCCGTCAAATCTGAATCCACGAGGAAGAAGAATTCAGAAACAGAGCTACAACTCAACCACTTTTCTCTCTACACGTCTCAATAATCATAGAAACAAATGAAAACCCCCCAAATGAAAAGCTGGTGACAGGGGCGTACCTGTCGCTCCAGGGCCCGCTCCACTCCTTCTCGCCCCAGGGGTTCCTCATGCGGATCATGTGGAGCTTCTCGGACTTGAAGAAGGCGAGGAGCCCGTGTCCCAGACGGACCTTCCTCACGTCGGTCACGGCGTAGGCGTGACCTTTGACCAGGCCGCAGTCCAGACGCGCCTCCATGTCCTCGATGGTGGTCGCCTGAGGGACACACGGACACACGGGGACGAGGGTTTCACACACACGGGTCTCGCTGATCACACGAGATCACGACGTTTCACAGGTCAGAAATATTTCACACAGATGGAGGAAGCTCAGACGAATCTTGTTAAATTGCAGTTTTTGTTGTTCTACACTGAGTTCTGGGCTCTAGAGACGCATGTGACGCCACGGACGTGTCTCCAAAACCAAAACGAAAAAACAGATAATGATTCGTTTTTTCAGTTTTCGATTTTGTGTTTAAATGAAAAATGGAAAAAAAAAACTGATAATGGACTGAACCAGGACTGAACCAATCTCATTCTTCGTGGTCTCGTCCCAGTCTGGTCCCAGCCTCAGTCCCGGCCTCAGTCCCGGTCTCAGTTCTGGTCTCAGTTCTGGTCTCAGTTCTGGTCTGGTCCTGGTCTGGTCCCGGACCTGGTTTAATCCTGGTTCAGTCCAATATCCGTTTCTTCCATTTTTTTCATTTACACTTAAAATCAACTGAAAAAATAAATCTTTATCAGTTTTTTTTTTTTTTTTTTTTCATTTTGGTTTTGGAGACAAATAATGAAGAAAAAGAAAAAAAAAAGGTGTTTTTTTTCGTTTTCGAATGAACGAACGACACACAGATTAAACGTATCCCCAACCAAAAAGTTACACAGTGCGGCTTTATCATATTTTCGTATTTAACGTTAAAACGCCGTTGGTTGGCATTATTTCTGTTCACGTTTGTGTACAGCAGCTTTAATGTGCACACGACATAATTTGACGGATTAACACTTTCTGTAAATATAAATTAAACTTTTACGCAAATCGAAAAGCAGTTTGTGAATTAAAGTAGAAAAAAATTCCGCTGAAAATGACGTCACACCGAAAGTTTACGCACAATTTACACTGCATTTCTTCGGCTACTTTAAACGTCATTTCAACGAAGTCATTATTATTAGTCGGTGAAAATAAAAATGTCGTTTACGTTAGAGGAGTAAAACGTGGTTGCTACGGTAACGGCGACGCAACCCCCCCGCTGTGACGTCGAGTAAAGTTTTTTTTTCTTCTTAAAATTCTTAAACGTGCGTCATTTTAAAATACTTTGCAACTGAATAAATGTAAAGTCGAGCTGTTTAATGTCACACTGCGGAACATTCCAGACAGAGCAGTGACGTCTCCATAGAAACAAGCAGGTGACGGACCCCCTAACCAAAAAGTTCCACAGTGCGGCTTTATCATATTTTCGGTAAGTGTTCTGTTCCCCCGGGACATTTCTGACGTCGTTTGAGTCGCACGTTTCGACGAATTCTTTTAAATTTAACTTTAAAACACTGTGATAAAAATGGCGTTTACGTTAGAGGAGCTCCGGTGTAAAACGTGGTTGCTACGGTAACGGCGACGCAATTCCCCCAGTGTGACGTCGAGTAAAGTTTTTTTTTCTTAAAATTCCTAAACATGCGTCATTTTAAAATATTTGGTAATTGAATAAATGTAAAGTAGAGCCCGTCACGAAGCAGGTGACGGACCCCCCCGACCGGAAAAGTTCCACAGTGCGGCTTTACGGGAGCGTTACCCTGATGGAGCAGCTGATGAGCCCGTCCCTGTTGTGGACCTTCAGGACTCGCTCGAACAGCTGGTTCCTGGCGGCTTCGTCCGTGGCCATCTGCCCCTCGAGCAGGTCCACGGGCTCCGACACGCCGCCCGTGAAGTCCACCAGAGCGTCCGCCGTGTTCCCCCCGTCCAGCGCCTCGTAGCAGCCGTACACCCTGCGAGAACATCAACGAGAACGTCAACGAGAACGTCAACGAGAACGTCAACGAGAACGTCAACGAGAACATCGAGAACGTCAATGAGAACGTCAACGAGAACATCGAGAACATCAACGAGAACGTCAACGAGAACGTCAACGAGAACGTCAACGAGAACGTCAACGAGAACGTCAACGAGAACGTCAACGAGAACGTCAACGAGAACATCGAGAACATCAACGAGAACGTCAACGAGAACGTCAACGAGAACATCAACGAGAACGTCAACGAGAACATCGAGAACGTCAACGAGAACGTCAACGAGAACATCGAGAACGTCAACGAGAACGTCAACGAGAACGAGAACATCAACGAGAACGTCAACGAGAACATCGAGAACATCAACGAGAACGTCAACGAGAACGTCAACGAGAACATCAACGAGAACGTCAACGAGAACGTCAACGAGAACATCAACGAGAACGTCAACGAGAACGTCACGTCAACGAGAACGTCAACGAGAACGTCAACGAGAACGTCAACGAGAACATCCACGAAGTCAACGAGAAGTCAACGAGAACGTCAACGAGAGTCAAACGAGAACATCAACGAGAACGTCAACGAGAACGTCAACGAGAACGTCAACGAGAACATCGAGAACATCAACGAGAACGTCAACGAGAATCAACGAGAACATCGAGAACAACGTCAACGAGAACATCAACGAGAACGTCAACGAGAACATCGAGAACGTCAACGAGAACGTCAACGAGAACGTCAACGAGAACATCAACGAGAACATCAACGAGAACGTCAACGAGAACATCAACGAGAACATCAACGAGAACGTCAACGAGAACACGAGAACATCAACGAGAACGTCAACGAGAACATCAACGAGAACGTCAACGAGAACATCGAGAACGTCAACGAGAACGTCAACGAGAACGTCAACGAGAACATCAACGAGAACGTCAACGAGAACATCAACGAGAACATCGAGAACATCAACGAGAACGTCAACGAGAACATCGAGAACATCAACGAGAACATCAACGAGAACGTCAACAAGAACATCAACGAGAACATCGAGAACATCAACGAGAACGTCAACGAGAACATCAGGAACATCAACGAGAACGTCAACGAGAACATCGAGAACATCAACGAGAACATCGAGAACATCAACGAGAACATCAACGAGAACGTCAACGAGAACATCAACGAGAACGTCAACAAGAACGTCAACGAGAACGTCAACAAGAACGTCAACGAGAACATCAACGAGAACGTCAACGAGAACATCAACGAGAACGTCAACGAGAACGTCAACGAGAACGTCAACGAGAACGTCAACGAGAACTTCAACGAGAACGTCAACGAGAACGTCAACGAGAACGTCAACGAGAACGTCGAGAACGTCAACGAGAACGAGAACATCGAGAACATCAACGAGAACATCAACGAGAACGTCAACGAGAACGTCAACGAGAACATCGAGAACATCAACGAGAACGTCAACGAGAACGTCAACGAGAACGTCAACGAGAACATCAACGAGAACATCAACGAGAACGTCAACGAGAACATCGAGAACATCAACGAGAACGTCAACGAGAACATCAACGAGAACGTCAACGAGAACATCGAGAACATCAACGAGAACGTCAACGAGAACGTCAACGAGAACATCGAGAACATCAACGAGAACGTCAACGAGAACATCGAGAACATCAACGAGAACGTCAACGAGAACATCAACGAGAACATCAACGAGAACATCGAGAACATCAACGAGAACGTCAACGAGAACATCAACGAGAACATCGAGAACATCAACGAGAACGTCAACGAGAACATCGAGAACATCAACGAGAACGTCAACGAGAACATCAACGAGAACATCAACGAGAACATCAACGAGAACGTCAACGAGAACGTCAACGAGAACATCAACGAGAACGTCAACGAGAACGTCAACGAGAACATCAACGAGAACATCAACGAGAACGTCAACGAGAACATCAACGAGAACGTCAACGAGAACGTCAACGAGAACGTCAACGAGAACATCAACGAGAACGTCAAAATAAAGAAAACGGCGGCGGAGGTGGAAGGAAGTGCTCGGGTTTGTTACTCGTGAGAAGGAAACAAAACACAAGTCCAGTCCTGGTTTAGTCCTGGTTTAGACCTGGTTCAGTCCTTGTTTTAGTCCTGGTTAAATCCTGGTTTAGACCTGGTTTTAGACCTGGTTTAGTTCCTGTTTTAGTCCTGGTTTAGTTCCTGTTTTAGTCCTGGTTTAGTCCTGTTTTAGTCCTGTTTTAGTCCTGGTTTAGTCCTGGTTTAGTCTGGTTTAGTCCTGGTTTAGTCCTGTTTTAGTCCTGGTTTAGTCTGTTTTAGTCCTGGTTTAGTTTAGTCCTGTTTAGTCCTGGTTTAGTCCTGTTTTTAGTCCTGGTTTAGTCCTGGTTTAGTCCTGTTTTAGTCCTTTAGTCCTGGTTTAGTCCTGTTTTAGTCCTGGTTTAGTCCTGGTTTAGTCCTGTTTAGTCCTGTTTTAGTCCTGTTTAGTCCTGGTTTAGTCCTGGTTTAGTCCTGGTTTAGTCCTGTTTTAGTCCTGGTTTAGTCCTGTTTTAGTCCTGGTTTAGTCCTGGTTTAGTCCTGTTTTTAGTCCTGGTTTAGTCCTGTTTAGTCCTGTTTTAGTCCTGGTTTAGTCCTGTTTTAGTCCTGGTTTAGTCCTGGTTTAGTCCTGTTTAGTCCTGGTTTAGTAGTCCTGTTTTAGTCCTGTTTTAGTCCTGGTTTAGTCCTAGTGGTTTAGTCCTGGTTTAGTCCTGGTTTAGTCCTGTTTTAGTCCTGGTTTAGTCCTGGTTTAGTCCTGTTTTTAGTCCTGGTTTAGTCCTGGTTTTAGTCCTGTTTAGTCCTGTTTTAGTCCTGTTTTAGTCCTGGTTTAGTCCTGGTTTAGTCCTGGTTTAGTCCTGTCCTTTTTAGTCCTGGTTTAGTCCTGTTTTAGTCCTGGTTTAGTCCTGGTTTAGTCCTAGTCCTTTTAGTCCTGTTTAGTCCTGGTTTAGTCCTGTTTTAGTCCTGGTTTAGTCCTGGTTTAGTCCTGTTTTAGTCCTGGTTTAGTTCCTGTTTTAGTCCTGGTTTAGTCCTGGTTTAGTCCTGTTTTAGTCCTGGTTGAGGTACTGACTTGGCGTAGGCCTTCTCGACCAGCGCGCTCCAGAACTCGTTGCTGTCGTTGGAGTGGCAGTAGACGAGCTGGTTGTCGACGGTGGGCAGACGGTCGTCGATCACCACGTCCACCCACTCGCCAAAACGCCAAAAACGAAAGTGGAAGATCCCGGCGTACGAGTCCGGCTTCTCCGAGTCCCACTCCTGCTCCCTCCAGTCCGGGATCACCTGGAACAGACACACCCCGGGAGGACGGGAAGATCAGACACACCCCGGGAGCATCAGAGGAACAGACACACCCCGGGAGGACGGGAAGATCAGACACACCCCGGGAGCATCAGAGGAACAGACACACCCCGGGAAAAACAGAGGAACAGACACACCCCGGGAGGATGACAAGGTCAGACACACCCTGAGAGAATCTCCGGGAGAATCAGAGGAACAGTCACACCCCGGGAAAAACAGAGGGACAGACACACCCCAGGAGGACGAAAAGATCAGACACACCCCGGGAGAATCTGAGGAACTGTTACACCCCGGGAGAACGACAAGATCAGACACACCCCGGGAGAATCAGAGGAACAGACACACCCCGGGAGAATCAGAGGAGCAGACACACCCCGGGAGGATGAGAACATCAGACACACCCTGGGAGAATCAGAGGAACAGACACACCCCGGAAGAATCTGTGGAACAGTCACACCCTGGGAAAATGAGAACATCAGACACACCCCGAGAGCATCATAGGAACCGTCACACCCCAGGAGCATCAGAGGAACAGACACACCCCGGGAGCTTCAGAGGAACAATCACACCCCATGAGAATGAAAAGATCAGTCACACACCAGGAGCCTCAGAAAAACAGTCACACCTCAGGAGAATGAGGTCTCTGACAGCTGCCATAGCCCCTCCCACATGTGCAGCAGCCCCTCCCACATGTGCAGCAGCCCCTCCCACATGTGCAGCAGCCCCTCCCACATGTGCAGCAGGCCCCTCCCACATGTGCAGCAGCCCCTCCCACATGTGCAGTAGCCCCTCCCACATGTGCAGTAGCCCCTCCCACATGTGCAGTGGCTCCTCCCACATGTGCAGCGGCCCCTCCCACATGTGCAGCGCCCCTCCCACATGTGCAGTAGCCCTCCCACATGTGCAGTAGCCCTCCCACATGTGCAGTAGCCCCTCCCACATGTGCAGTAGCCCTCCCACATGTGCAGCGGCCCCTCCCACATGTGCAGCGGCCCCTCCCACATGTGCAGCGGCCCCTCCCACATGTGCAGCGGCCCCTCCCACATGTGCAGGGGTCAGTCTCTGTGGGGACAGACTTTGTCCTGCTTCATAAACCATAGAAACGTGTTTTTGCCGCGGGAGGACGAGGCGCCTCTGGAGAACAGGACCAGGAGGAAAAACAAAACAAAACCACACAAACCTCCGGAGCTGCTGGGAACATGTGTGACTAAAAGAGGGGACACACTACAGGCCAAAGGATTATTTTTCATTTTATTTTATTTATGTTTTGATTTGTTTTTATTGTGATTTTTTATGTATTTCTTATTGTGTAAAGCACAAATTGTGTGATACAAATAAACTTGCCTCGATCATAATAACACACACAGACACATGCACATGTAGTGTAAACAGTGTTGGGGAGTAACAGATTACATGTACCAGAGTAATCAGAGTACAAATGATGAGTAACTGTATTCAGTTACAGTTACTGTTTTAGTGAGTGGGAATTGGATTACAGTTACTTTGTTGAAATAAATGGATTGGATGAAACATCAGACTGGAGAAGGAAGCGCAGACGTCACACTGGAGCTGAAACGGAGAAAATGGAGTCTTGAAAATACGAGATTAAAGTTTCCTCAAACATGAATCAGTCCAGATACAACTTCAGGTGTGTAAACGGTGAAACTGCTATAAAAAAGTCAATTTTGGAGAAGTTTATCAACTGGACTTATGCAGGACATTCTAATTTAAAGTCCGTCTTCTCATAATGTTGGTTTCTTCCAGCACCTACACGAGTCTGTGACAAACAGTCCCTCCTCTGCTCCCTGAGGACGTCTCCTCCTCCCTGAGGACTTCTGCTCCTCCCTGTGGACGTCTCCTCAGCTCATGTGCCTTTGGTGTTGTAGTCGTAGTTGCCAAGGATCTGCTCTGATGTTTGGACCCGCCCACCGCCGCCGCTGCTGTAAACACACCGAGGAATCCAGTCTGACAGTCACCGCACCATCACCACCCGACGGGCACAGCGAGGGAGCGGGCGTCCACACGGAACCACCGAAACACCACAGAGACGTGAAGAAGAACGTGTCACAGGTCAGAAATTTCCTAATGTTTCAAAATAAAAGCGTTTTATATGATGCTTTTGCTGTGACTTTACAGATTCTACAGAAACACACTGACTTTTTTTTAGAACAAACACAGTGGAATTATGAGATCAAAATGTAATGTTGCATTTTATTTGTAAAACTTCTCCATCTAGAAGCTTCCAGTCGACATTTTTCAACCTTTATTTGGTTGATAGTGATTTTAAAAAGTCTCAGTGTCCGACAGAAAAAATGTTTGACTTTGATTTCGACTTTGTTTATTACAGAAATAAAACAGTGTTCAGTTGCAGCTCGGAGCTGAACTTAATGATCAGTGTTGGGGACTTTAAAAAAGTTGTGTTTGCTCGTTACTTCTTTAAAAAGTAATGCCTCTATGGAAAGTCACTTTTTACTTTCCTCGTTACTTTTTGGTGTAAACTCCATCTGAGGTTAAATCCAGCACGAGACCAACAGTCGACAAGAACTGTGAGGGAAAGTGTAAAAGTACTTTGCAGAGAAAGTTCAGGAGGATGTGAAACTGTTCGGAGGTAAACAGGTGGGGTCAGTTTGCCTGAGGGATTCGACTCGGCAGGTGAGGGACGGCCGCTCGGTGCAGGAGGATCCCCTCGAGGAACATCTCCCTGGGTATCGCTGGCCCCTGCAGAGAACACTTCCTCCAAAACAGTGAGCCGCAACCGGCTCTGGGTCGACCAGGAAAGACTCGAGGTGAAGGTGTCACGACTCTTTGGCTGAGTTACAACGACACCGAGATATAAAACCAAAATAATTTCTTCCTGGATCCTGTTTGTGGTTTGTTGTTGTTAAAATGCTGCTGGTGCTTCGTGTTCGTCGTGTCGTCCTTCGATCCGGCTCCTCCAGTCGTGTCTCGGGACTTTGTCTCTTTGGATTTGTGAGCGGGATGCGGGAGTGGGCTGAGCTTTTGTCTTCTTCCTCACTTCTCCGACGCTCTTCCCTCCTCCTCCTCGGCTCACAGACGGAAAGTGTGATGAGACGATTCTCCAGCCGCTGCTTCACAACAATTATCATCAGAACCACTGCAGGAAAAGTTTGGACGGTGTTTGTGTTGGTGGAGGAACCACAAACCCAGACGACAGAAAAGCCGAGTGCAGCTGAAGTGTTTTGTTTTCTTCACAAAGACGTAAATCCGTTGGCGTCTCTGTCCAATCAGAACCTTCTCCACCACCAGACGCTGAGACAGATTTAACGAGTTTTCCAAGGAGAAGATTTTAATTCTGAACTATTTAATTCAGAATTAAAAAGGATCATGTACTGTTTGGTTTCTTTTTGGCCTGTCTGAGAGGCTGCCTGTGTTACCAGGGCAGATGACGTTACTACGTAAACTTTTACACCTGGCAAGAAGATGCCTCCTGCTTCAGTGGATACAGGCAAAACCTCCATCTGTTACACAACGGTACAGAGAGACTTGTAAAGTTTTCCCGATGGAAAGACTCAGTGCCTCTTAAAAGGCAATTCAAACACTTTCTATAAAATATGGCGACCCTTTCTGGACCACCTACCTCAGGACTTGGCTGATGTGCTTTATAACGGAGGCTCCCAATTTGTTTTTAATTTTAATCAATAATTGTGCAATGTTTATTTCTTTTTCATTTTAGCTCTAACTCAGACCTTGTGACAATCTTTATCCATTTAGTTCTATGCAGACTAAGGCTGCGTTCACACTGAACCTGAAGTTTCCCAAATCTGATGTTTTGTCTCTATGTTCCTGTATCTGATCTTTTAATGTCTGAACCACACAGATGTGATGTTTTCACATGTGACCAGGACACTTGGATCTGTGCTCCTGAAACTGATCCATATCTGATCTTTAACATGTGACTTGAGTGTGAACAGTCAGGTCACATTCATCCACCTACACGTCATCAACAAGACACAAACGTCACTATTCTGCACTGAAGTAGAGAAAACTGTTCATGATCCATGTGACTGAAGTGAAGCACATCTCCACTCACCACAAAACACCACCACCAAAAACCTGCTCCTTCTCCTTCTCAATCTCCTCCTTAAAACAAGTCAGTTGTTCATGTTGTGGCTCCGGTACGAGAGGAACTTTAAAATCTCCAGGTGCTCGATGCTGCGTCCATGTTTGTTCAACTTGTGTAAACACAGAGACGCTCGCTGCGGTTGACGTCGTCGTGTCTCCAGTGTCACATGTGGGACACTTTTGGACCGTTTAATGTTCACACTGGAGTCACATACAAGTCACATTTAACTGGAAATGTGAACGAGCTCGAAAAAACATCAGATTTCACAAAAAAATCTGAATTGAGCGTTAAACCTGCAGACTGAACGGAGACTAAAGCTGTGCTGGATTGTATTGTATTGTTCTATTTTGTTAAAAAAGACAATAAATTATTGTTAAAAAAAAAAAAAAAAAAGATCATGTAAACGTGGCGTGTGACACTGATTTCTCCGTGATCTTGTTTTGATTTTCTTGTTCTAATCGTCCGTGTGGTGTGATCTCTCGTGCTCCTCAGCCGTCGCGTCGACCGGGAGCATGTCTGGCGAGCTGGAGGTGGCGTTCCGGCCGGACACGCAGCTGACGGAGGTGATGCGCCTGAGGGTCCAGTCGCTGCAGCAGAGGGGCCAGAGGCGGCAGGAGGGCGAGAGGCTGCTCCGCCCCGACGAGGCCGTGTACCGGCTGGACTTCCCGGTGCAGAGCCTGGCGTTCTCCCGGTGGAGCGTGCGGCTGTCCTCGCCCGGGCGCCTCACCGTCACCGCCACGTCGCAGCTCTGGACGCCGGACCTCACCCACCTCATGACGCGCCAGCTGCTGGAGCCCGCCGGCGTCTTCTGGCGGGAGCGGGCGGGTCCCGACGCGCCCGTGCGGTCCTCCGAGGCCGACGCGCACGAGTTCGGGGAGCGGATCGCCGAGCTCGCCAGGGTGCGCAAGGTCATGTACTTCCTGTTTGCGTTCGCGGACGGCTGCAGCCCGGAGACGGTGGACTGTTCCATCGCCTTCACCGTGGAGCGCTGAGGCCGGGAACAACACTCACGTCCGAAAAACTCACGGTTTGACAAGTTTCAAATTTTACTTCAC